TAAATTAAACTTGAAAAATGTTTACTATACACAGAAATAAACACATAGAGGTCAAATTAATTTTTTCAAAAAAACATTTCATCTTTTCAAAATCTAACCCTAAGATTACATACAATACTACAACATATGTTTGCCAAACCCTTAAACCAAAGAATATCATGATTCACTACTTCCACTCATCTATGCTGAAAACAAATCATTTTTATCATTTCTTAATTTATATCATTTATAAATGTTTATAATTACATGTTTTTAATTTTTCACTCATGAAAATATTTTTTACAAAATTTATAAATTATTTTTAAGATTCAATCGTCCAGACAACTAACATTTCAGTCGTCCAGACGACTGAAAAGTAACTCAGCCCGACTCAGACAACTTACTGGGGTTATATTCGTAAAAATGTCTTCTGTTTTTTTGTTTGGTCACAGAGGACTATATTATAATTTCATAGCCCTTTTAGGTTAGATTTGCATTTGATTCAAGTTGGGGTTTAGTATTGGGGTTAAAACCAAGTTGTGGGTTAGTTTTGGCAAAAACCCATCATTTAGATATTTATATTTATTTCAAATGTAATAGAAGTATGGTGGACGATTTATGTAAATTACAACGTCATCTCAATAATAAAAGTTGCATAAATATGTTGCCACCGTCTGCTGCCGGTAACACAACTATCCCACAACAAAAGAATCAAAATTCCTCTCTCGTCTCCTTCTCCTCTTCATATCTTTCTAAAATCTTCAGCAAAAAGTGTAGGACTTCAAGGTGATTAATCTTGCCTAGCTCGGTCTTTCTATGTATAAGTTTCAAATATATTAGAACAATATCTTAACTCTCTAATATTTTTTTATGTGTTCAGTAAGGACAATTCAAACTAATCTGGTGTTTCCATACGGCAGAGTGGTGCTCTGGTGCTTTTAGTTCTGTATTTTTGATTCACTTAACATGATTAGCTAGTTAGCTAGCTTGTGTATTTATTCACCTAACAAGCCATTTATATTTCTGTGAAGATTATCAGCTGACTAAATGTATAAACTACGCATTTTGTGTAGGAATCAAGATGAGTATGTTGTATATCATCGTTGCAATCGTCTTCTTTGCATCTGCAGTACTCATTGCAAAGAACACGAGAAAGACAAAGAGAAATCTACCTCCTGGACCACCAAGACTTCCTATAATAGGCAAATTGCACCAACTGGGATCAAAACCTCACCGTTCGATGCTCACCTAATGAAATTTTCTGGAAGTGTGATTTGTAGAGTTGGGTTCGGGATGAATCTTAAAGGGAGCAACCTTTAGAATACTTATGAGGAAGCATTCAGGAACCATGGAGGTGTTGGTGAGTTTTTCAGCAGCCGATTACCTCCCTGTTATTGGTCGACTCATCGATAGGATCACAAGATTACATAGAAAATGTGAGAAGGTTTTCAAAGAAATGGATGCATTTTTCGATCAATCTATAAAATATCACTTAGAAGATGAGAGTTTTAAAGATGATATCATTGATTTGCTCCTCAAAATGGAGAGGGGAGAGACTGCACTTGGAGAGTTTCAACTAACACGAAATCACACCAAAAGAATTCTTCTTGTAAGTAATGGAAACTTCTCAATCAATAACTTCATTTCTTCACATGCTGCGCAAGGTTTGAAATGTTGTCTTATTGATTTTTAATTACAGAATGTTCTTATTGCTGGAATAGACACCTCTGGCCACACAATAACATGGGTGATGACACATTTGATTACAAATCCAAGAATTCTGAAGAGAGTGCAAGCTGAGGTTAGAGAAGTAATAAAAAACAAAGACGATATCGCAGAAGAAGATATAGAGCAATTAGATTATCTCAAAACGGTGGTTAAAGAAACGTTAAGGATAAACTCACTTTTGCCGCTTCTAGTTCCAAGGGAGGCTTCAAAAGATCTAAAGATCGAAGGTTACAACATTCCGAGGAAAACATGGATCCATGTCAACATTTGGGCTCTTCATAGGAAACCAAACGTTTGGAAAGATCCAGAAGCTTTTATCCCCGAAAGGTTTATGGACAATGAAATCGACTATAAAGGTGTAAAATTTGAGTTATTGCCGTTTGGTAGTGGAAGGAGAATGTGCCCTGGTATGGGTATGGCTTTGGTACACTTGAGACTTATCAATCTTCTTTACCGTTTCGACTGGAAGCTTCCAGATGGAGTGGATACAAAAGATGTTGATCTTGAAGAATCATATGGACTCGTATGTCCTAAGAAAGTTCCACTTCAGCTTATTCCGATTCTTACTAAATGGACTTAACTTCAATTTATTCTTTCATAGTTCAATAATGTAACCTTTTGGAAGTGTTTTAAAGGTCTTACCAATATCAGTTATCATTAAGAAAATTGTTTGATGAATCCATCGTTTAGCACATTTTCTCTGTAACCATAACTTCTTATGACACTACCAATGGTTTGAATAGTCTAATAAATTAATGAATTTTCATTAATTGAGAAATATAATTAAGTTTCTCTCTTTCTATCAGTTATCATATGTAGGGGTGCGACGGATCCGGATATCCGTCTTTATATTGTGATATTTGCGGGTATCCGAATTCGGATTCGGATCTGTAAAAATAATTAAAAAAAAAAAAAAAAAATTCTGAAATAATACATAAAGTAAATATTTAAGCATAATTTATGAATACATATATGAGATATAATATTATTAATATAAAAGTAGAATATTATTAAACTTATTTTATGTATAAATATTAATATATCAGATATAATTAATAATAAAATAAAAAATTTGATATATTTTTTAAAATACATATCCGAATCTGGATATCCAGACCTAAAAATTAAGATATCTGGATTCGGTTTGCACGGATCCGAGATTTTACTATCCGGATTTGGATCCGGGCACCCCCAGATATTCTAATTTTGGAGCGGATCCGGAGCAGATCCCGGATCGAATCCGGATCTCGGATGAAAGTCCCAACCCTAGCTATCATTAATGTTACTCGTTACTTGATTTTGGTATTGGTATGAAAACTCGAATTTGCTATTTTAGTAGTATAACTTAATTTGGAGGTTTTGGTGGATAAACTTGATTTTTTATTTTTTCGATTAATTTGGTAGGAAAACATGATTTTTTGGTTTGACGAAAATATCGATTTTGTGAATTTTACGGAAAATGTGAGTTCCTGACGAGAAAACGTGGGTTCCTTGTTTTGACGAGAAAATCTAGTTTTGCGGTTTTAGTAAGAAAATCCAATTTTGTAGTTATGGTGGGAAAACGTGTTTTCGCGGTTTGTCGGAAAAATCCAATTTTATGATTTTTGTCTGAAAATGCGATTTTGCTGTTTTGGTGAAAAGCTTGATTTTGTGATTTTAGTAGAAAAATATGATTTTACAAGTTTTGGCAGAAAATATGTTTTTTACAAAATGACTTTATGGTTTTGAAAAAAACATAATTTTACTATTTTAAAATAATATATCTAATTGTAGTAATAATTGATATAAATTAGGTATCTTTATGTTTATATAGAAAGATATTTACGTGTTTTGGATTTTAAGATGCAATTGTTACTTCTAAACTATGCATTTTAACATTTTAGATATTTGATGGGTATAGTCAATGGGGACCAGAGGAAACAAAACTTCTGATCGATTTACTTGTTAATGCAATTCATCGAAATTGGTGTGATGCTAATGGTTTAATAAACAAGTTCACGGTGGAACAAAATTTTTTGCCTGTTCTCAATGAAAAGCTTGGATGCCAAAAAGAACACAAGCACTACCTAAATAGAATAAAAATATTTGAGAGAAAAATACCTAAACTATTTGGATCTTCAACGCTTCAACTCTGGATTTGGATGGGATCCTGACTTGAAAAGGTTTACTGTTCCAGATGAAGTTTGGGAAGAGTATTTAAAGGTATGTACTTGTCTATATAAATTTAAATATCATAACTTAAGTTTTCAAAATATTTCATAACTAAACTATGTTTACTAATCTACAGAAACATCCTACGCACAAGAATCTATGGCATGACTCGGTTGAAAATTATGAGGATCTGCAACTCATATTTGGAAATGGTGTAGCTACCGGTTGTTTTGCGATTGGAATGGGTGAGAGTACTGATGCACATACCTTTATAGTTGAATAGAGTAATCAAATGAGAGAAAACATAAATCTTCATCAAAGCAGCGATGAAGTTTTTGAATTGTCATCTCAACAACCATCAACGGAATGTGGTACGTCATCTTTACCACGTACAAGTTCAAAAGATCGTGCAGAAAAGCTTCATCCCAGGAAGAGGTCAAAAAGGGAAGCTGATACCAATGCAGACAAGCTGAAATATGATCAGGATGATTCTATGATCATTGTTAGCAACAAAATTTTAGTGTCATACAACAAAGAGAAGAAAGAAAACAAAGAGAAGCTGAAAAAAGAGAAGAAAAGTAAAAACGAGAAGCTGAAGAAAAGGAGGCTGATAGAAAAAAAGACAGCATATGGGAAGCCATGAAGGAGATTCCAAATTTAGATAATCATACCCGCTACAAAGCCATCACCTTGATTCATTCACTTGGGATGAAAAGTGTCTTCAAAGATATGATAGTAGAAGAACGTTTTGGTCGGATTGAGAGCAATCTTGGCTCTTTATGATTATTTAGTTTTGGTCTTTGAATGTTTCAAGTTTTTAGAATTTTTAGTTTGTGTTGGGTAGGACTATCTTTTCTTAAATGGTTTACTAATAAGAGCTTTGTTTTTAATCAAATGGATTTTTTTCCTACGTTTGATACAAAGTTTTTAATTCTTTTTGTCTTCTTGCGTACTTTGTTTGTTGCATATTACTTGTCATATTTTTGTCAATATGTGATGATTTTCTTATTATTTAATCGATCGTATTATCTTTATAGGTACAATTTCTTTGAAGCATGGAGCACTTTATTGAGGAAGATGACGAGCTTCTTCATGATGATGATAAGTTAGAAATTGACATTATGTTGTTCCTACTGAAAAATAAAACAAAAGCCTATGTTATGAAGAACAAACATATTGAACGTCCCATTCGCCAGCCTATCACAAAAATTGGTTACAACTACATACAAAAAGCTCTCAAAGAAGATCCGAACACTTTCGGCAAGTGTACCGTATGTATCCTTCCGTATTTTAAAGCTCTGCCATCTTATCAAAGAGAAAACACCTCTTAGAGATACTAGGCAAATGTGTCTTGAAGAAATGGTAGTTACATTTTTGTTCATTATTGGTCAGAATTCAAGATATTCTTACACAATGGAAACGTTCAAGAGATCCAAATTTGATGCAAGTACAAACTTTCACAAGGTTTAAAAGGCATTGAACTTTATTGCACCAAGTTTGATGGCTAAACCTGGATTCACAGTACCTACAAAAATATGAGAAAGCACACGATACTATCCTTATTTCAAGGTACATTATTTAAATTATATTTTAACTTCAAGATAATATAGCTAATCGTTATATGTGTAGGATTGTGTTGGTGCTATTGATGGCACACACATTGATGCAATAGTGCCTGCTTCTGAAGCACCTAGCTACCGTAATCGGACAGGGAACATATCACAAAATGTGTTGGCTGCTTGTAGTTTTGATCTAGAATTCATATATGTTCTTAGTGGATGGGAAGGTACGGCTCATGATTCAAAAGTACTAAGTGATGCTCTAACAAGGTGTCCTAACAGGTTACCTGTTCCAGAAGGTATGCATACACATATGCATTTAACATATTTTTAGTTTTCTTTTGTTAATAGGACCATTGATATCTTTGTATCATGTATAATTTTCAGGGAAGTTTTACCTAGTTGATTGTGGATTTGCAAATCGTCGCAACTTTTTAGCTCCATTTAGAGGTACAAAGTATCATTTGCAAGATTTCAGAGGTCAAGGTCGTGATCCTAGTAATCAGAATGAGTTATTCAACTTATGGCATGCATCTTTGAGAAATGTGGTCAAGCGAATTTTTGGTATTTTTAAATTTCGGTTTCTGATTTTTAAATCTGCACCACCATTTTTTAAAAAGTACAAGCCAAACTTGTATTAGCTTGTGCTGGGTTTCATAACTTTCTTAGTAAACATTGCCGGTCGGATGAGTTTCCTCCTGAAAAAAAGATTGTGGAGAGCGCAAAAAATAGTTCCGTAAATGGGAATGCAGGAAATTTCTGTGAAGAAAATGCTGATGTAGGACTCTTAAGTCTCAACAAAGAGAACATGCGAACAATTGGAGAGACACAATAGCTGCTAATATGTGGGCAGAAGCTACACAAACAGGAAGTCAACGATGAAGATTGTGAAACCGTTTTTCAGTTATGAAACTCTATTTTCATAGTTCATGACAATTTGAGCATTGTTAGTTTCAGTGAGTCTCTGAATCTTTGAGATGAATCTTGAAATATTTGGTATCATGTTATGTTTTTGGATTTTTCCCCAATCTATGTTGATTATCAAAAAATTCTCGTCGTTGTGATAGAATTTTTTTAACGACGGAAGATTTTGCAAAAGTGATGGGCTGTGACAGATTATAGTTGTTGTAGTAACGGAGACAGACACAAAGAATTGGAAGATATTCTTGCAGGTTTCCGATCATGAAAGGAAGAATCACGACACGAACTCGTGATACGGTTAAATTGTTTTTATATGGTGTGAGACCAGACTTGGTCGTTGAGGAGCACGAAACAAAATGATTTACTTGGAATGATCAGAAAAAAAGACGATGGCCTATAATTTTAATTATATCTCATTCAATTGTAAAAAGACTTTGACAATCCATGATTAACTTGCCATACTTTGCTTAGTAGATTTTATAAAGAATAGTATGAAGATCATAAACTAATAACAACAGCTTTCAAAAAAATGGAAAAATCATTAACTTTTATTTTTGTTGAATAACACAAGACTTTTACTAATTTTGTAAATTAATGAATCCAATAACTCTAGACTTTTAAAAACTTTTAAGTATTTATTACAAATTTATAAACCAATAACACCAGAGTTTGACAAAGTTTTTTGGAAAATCTTAATTAAATCACACAAGACTCCTTGTAACTCTCAAATCTTTATAACTCCTTATAAAACACAATCTAATAACTTCCCCTTAGATTTTTTTTGATGTTGTAGATTTTGCATCAAGATGCAGCATCTAGATGTTTAATGTAATTATTTCCAAATGAATAATATCATAATATTTGCATCTGGATGCAGCATCCAGAATAAAAAACGAACATGGCCTTATTTTTTTTTTTTTTTATCACAGTGCACTGAATTTTTTATCTATTATTTTAAAAAGAGAAGTCATGACTCACTTCATGTGTATTTGTTTTTAGTTTGGACCATTTTAATTTTTTTTATAAAATTTTACATAACATCATTATAATATCTTTAATTTTTATTTGAAATACAAATAAATAGTTTTAAGAAAATTCTAACAAATATTTTAGAATCTTTTCAAGATATAGTTTCTCAAAAATTATTTGATTAAAATTTAATTATCATAAAATATAATTAAAATTTTATTTCATTGTTTATTTAAAAACAAAAAAATTAAAATTATATGAAATACTTTTAAAAAATATCACAAAATTTTGTTTATGTATTATGTAGGTCCAATTTAATTTACTTTATATATATATATATATATATATATATATATATATATATATAAATATATCAAATTTAGAAATAAAACAAAATATATAAATTAGTAATGTTACATAATAATGTTTTTAAAAATTGTTACAAAAATACAAATTTATAAATTTTATACTAATAATATTATAAGCCACATAAATATTATTATAAAGTTGGATAGTATACATAATCAAATTAGATTTATTTATTGATAAATTTTACTCTCTCAATTTCTTAATATATGATGTTTTGGATCATTGTTAAAAATTAAGAAATTTAAATTATTCTACAAAAGTATTTTTAAAGAAATCATTCAACCAATTATTAAAAAAAAGTAAAATTTTATTGGCTGAATTGTTTCCAATAAAGTTAAAATAACCTTAAAACTTCAAAATATACCTTAAAATCTAAACACATCTTATATTTTGAAACAAAATAAATATTTTAAAATATCATCTAATTTGAAATGGATGGAATATTATATAATTTCAAATATTTTCGTATTAAAATACCCGCACGGTTGTGCGGGTCGAGATCTAGTTACATTATTAATTGGCCTAATGGATCTACCTTTAGAAACCTGCTAGTCTCCCCTAGGGCTGGAAAAAAAAAACGAAATCCGAAATCCGAACCGAACCCGACCCGATAAAAGGGAATCCGAACCGATCCGAACCCGACATAAATACCGAATGGATCTTGTTTTACGGTATTTCGGGTTATGGGTTTTATCCGAACCAAACCCGAACTTAAATGGATATCCGAAAGAACCCGAAACTTTAAAATTCCAAAAAAACTTATATCATACTCAATCTAAATTTTTAATATGTTTCCAAAATACAATAATATATTATTGAGTACCTACAATAATTAGTTATGATATGAATAATTAACTCAAATATTTAGTCTAATATATAGTTTTCTTTGGCTGTTACTAATGTTTATGATTGACACTACATTTGAAGTTAAGTTACGAATAAATTTGTTTTGAAGTTTAAATAATGTTATTTTTTAAATTTTCAATATTACTTCTTACGTTTATATAATTGTTAGCTGTTAACTTTAACTTTTTATGTTTCATTATGTATGATTTTCGTTCATATAAGACTTTGGTTTATCATTAATCATGATATGTTTAGTGTTGTCACATATAGTTCAATGACAAATCTTATATTGTTGATAGATGAGTTTCATAATATTATTTAAAAGCTAAATACACAATTTAATAAAAAGATTGAAAATATAGTGAATTTAATTGAGTATAAATTAGTATTTTTAGAATCGATAACCCAATAAGTATCTGAAATCGAAACTATTTCGGGTTCAACTGTAATTTGGACATGTTACTAAATCTGAACCGAACCCGATTAAACCCGAACCGAATCCGACCCAAATTTTTATAATATCCGAATGGGGCTGAAATTCATGAACCCGAAAACTCGAAACCCGAATGAAGCCGAACCGAAATCCGATTGGGACGCCGAATGCCCAGCCCTAGTCTCCCCTATGGTGACGAGCCTTTCCATCTTTTGGTGTTCTTCTGTTTGGGTTGATAGGTTCAACAATTCAAACTAAGAGAGCTTACTGAACGAAGCAATCTATGAATTCAAGTTTTGATATAAGCAGATGAGTATATGTACTCATCTGATTGAAGCGCTTTTCCGTGTTTATTTTGGTGTACGTACGAAAATTGATGTTTTATTACCTAAACAATTTTCTTATACGTCTTACAATCAAACAAAAAGGGACCTAGTTGTGTCTAGGAGCAGTCACGGTGTTATCCTTCGATAATTAAATTTATTAAAATGCTCATATAAAAGGCTAAAGAAACTAATAAGCAATCTTAAGCCATGGTAATTGATA